ACTAATAATATTTACCTTTGGGTCCGAATCACCTACACAAACTGCAAGTCCTTCTGTTAAAATTGAATTAAAGACTGGGCGAGAAACTACAAGAAAGATACGAGCAAATGTAGTACCTCACATCACGAACAAAATATCAGTGCCTAAAGTAGATAAGAAAATATGTGTTGATTTATTAGCTGATGATGGCTCTGCAGGAGAGAAGATAGATAGCTTAACTGGAAACGATTATTACTTTTCATTCTTTAAATCAGAAAGTAAGAAATTGTGTAACAATTTGTTTTTAATCAATACTGAATTTGGTTGGATATTAAGTGGCAAGGTTGATTCAAATGATCAAAATATATTATCAATAATTACTTATTGTCAATGCCATGGCCCAGAATGTATGTACTACACAGAGCCTGACCTTCCTCTCAGAAATACAGATTTGACATTTTTGTGGTCACTAGAAAGCATAGGGATCTTAGATTCTCCTAAGGCTACTAGAGAAGATGAAGCAGTAAAACACTTCAACAACAATGTCAAGTATGTAAATCAAAGATACATGATTAAGTGGCCTTGGATTCAGTACCCACCAGAAATACCTACTAATTTTGGACTAGCATATGGAAGGTTGAAGGTGCTGCTATAGCGAATTGATAAAAATACTTTGGAAGAATATGAACAAATTCTCAAAGCACAACTGCAAAGTGGCACGATAGAATTAGTCGAACCTGAGGATGATGTAGCATCAAGACAAAGAATTCCACCTTTGCACTATCTACCCCATCATATAGTCAAGCAAGAGGAGAAAAAAAGGTAGGTTGGTGTATGATGCTTCAGGGAAACTAAAAAATCATAAAAGTTTGAACGAGTGCATGTATAGAAGACCTTCTTTGATTGGAGACTTACTCGCAATTCTCCTACAATTTCGTACTTATAAAATTGCTATTACAGCTGATGTAGAAAAGGCTTTTCTGCAGATAGGTCTCCAAATAGAAGACAGAGATGTCACAAGATTTCTATGGCTTAAACATGTAAATCAACCAATATCTAAAGAAAATTTACTACACCTGCGATTTTGTAGAGTGCCTTTTGGGATTATTTCAAGTCCATTCATACTAACTGCTACAATAAACTACCATATTTCACAAAACTACCCAGACTTATTGTCAAAGATTGCCGATAAATGCTACGTAGATAACCTTGTGACAGGATCAAAAACAGTAGAAGAAGCGCAACAGTTGTACAAGGACACAAGGAGAGTTTTCCAAGATTTGTCAATGAATATCCGTGAATGGAACTCTAACAGTCCTGATTTCCTTAAGACAATTCCACAAGAGTACAGAGCAAAGACTTCTGCAGAAACCAAGATGTTGGGTTTAGTGTGGGACACTAAAAAAGACACTTTGCATCTAAAAATAAACCCCACTTTCACATTCATCCACTTTCACACATTCACCCTTAATATTACCTGCTAAATTGTTACTCCAATAGCTATGGGAAAATAAACTCAAATGGGACACACTACTACCTGAGGAGTTAAAACAGAAATGGGATGAAGTGGCTAGTCAGCTTAAACAGTCGTTTAAGGATGGTTCGAAATGTAGTTATACCACGATTTGCTTGTATTGCACCAGAAGAAAAAACAGTCACATATGAATTACACTGTTTTACAGATGCATCAAAAGATGCCTATGCTGCAGTTCTCTACTTACGTTCAAGTAATGGAGTGAATACCAAGGTAGCCTTCTTAATATCCAAGTCTAGAATTACACCAAAACAAGACAAAGATAACTTGAAAATTCCAAAGTTGGAATTACTCGGATACTACATTGGAAGTAAACTAATTTTGTATGTCAAAAATGTGATTGGACTAACAATTGAACATCAATACTTGTGGACAGACAGTATGATCGTTTTGGGTTGGATGAAATCAAATAAATTATTACCACCATTTGTTTCAAGAAGAATCAATACAATCAGGCAAAACAAAGAAATTCAGCCTTGCTACATCAACACAGACAGTAATCCTGCCGATGTAGCAACACGACCTGACCTTTGGACAGAGAAAAATCACTTGTAGTTCCAAGGTCCATCATTTCTACTTAAGGACAAAAGTGAATGGCCACAAAGTATATATCTTGGAAGTGAGGAATCGTCTTGTGTGTTGGGGGAGAGTCTGGACGGACTATGTCCAGATATAATAATGATGACTAATGACGAAGAGGATATAAATGAACTCACTGGGTGTAGCTCACCAAAACAAGGTTGTTACCAGCTGGAGAATACCCGGGAGGTGAAAAATGTGAAGACACTGCAAAGAAAATATTTTCCTAATGAAGTTGAAGGTAAAGTAACGCATCTCACCAGAAATTTAGGTCTGTATCTTGATGTGGACGGTGTGTTGAGATGCCGTGGACGGATGGCTAACACCAACTGGTCTTACGATACCAAACATCCTGCTCTCATCCCTAGAGATAGTGAGTACACAAGCAAATTGATACAAGAAATTCATGAGAAAAACTATCATGTAGGTGTGTTGCTTCTTCGCAAAGCTTCTCTCTTATCAAGCTTAACGTATGTTGGGCTTGATAAGAGAGAAGTTTTGGATACCTCAAGGAAGAACACAAGTACAAAAGATATTAAGACACTGTGAGAATTGTGTGAAGCATGGAGGGGGTCCCTATAAGCTACCGCCAACCTCAGATTTGCCAGCAGAACGAGTTAATTTAAGTGCCCCTTTTACCTACACCGGTATGGATTATTTTGGTCCACTTTACATCATTGGAGAAGTAGGCAAGGAAAAGAGATGGGTATGTTTACTTACCTGCTTAGCTGTGAGAGCCATCCATATGGAAATAGTGAAAGATTTAACTGCCGACGAGTGTCTACTAGGTTTAAGACGCTTTGTTGCGAATCGGGGAAAACCTGAGGTAATCATGACAGACAATGCAACCCTTTTTAGACTGACCGCAGAAGTTGTCTCAGATACAATCAAATGGAAGTTTATACCGCAACTAGCACCTTGGCATGGGGGTTTTTATGAAAGGATGGTTGGACTTGTCAAACATTGTATTATGAAGAGGACCCTGGATAAACATTTCTTAAGGGAAACACAGTTACTTACTGTGGTCAAAGAAATAGAGTCTGTTTTGAATAGTCGACCCCTGACATGTGTTGGCTCCGACCCTGAAGAAATATTGAAACCAGCCGATTTTCTTTCATTGGGGAAATAAATTGCTCTGGAACCGTTAAATGAAAATATACCATCTGGAAGTACATCGACAAAACAAGCCCTAATAGAAGGTTGGATAAGAGGACACAAGATCGTGGCAGAATTTAGAAAAATGTTTACCACTCAATATTTATTCAGTCTTAGAGAAAAATACAATTACAGTCCAAAGCAGCCCAGAATAACAAATAGTAATATGCCAGAGGTCGGTGACGTAGTTCAAATCAAAAGTGATGTCAAGAACAGAAATAAGTGGAAGGTAGGAAAAATAATTTCATTGACTCGTGGAGCTGATGAGGAGTGTCGGATAGCAAAAGTGAAAGTAGGCAATTCAGAGTACACTCGCTCGGTAGGTCACTTATACCCACTTGAAGTAAATAGTAAGAGGAATGAAAGTGAAGGTCTTTCTGAGCAAGTTCCTGAAGTAGAGATTGCCAAGTCCTCTGAAAGTCAAGAAACAAATTCTGCTAAGCCGCCTGCTGGAGGGGTGGAAGTAGGACACGAGCTGTCTGAGGCTCTGGATGACCTAACGCCAATAAGAGTTAAGAGGAAAGCAGCAATCAGAGCAAGAGAAAAGATGACCGAACTTACTCGCAATCTTCTCACACTTTTGTAGTTCCTGTGGCGCCCGGAGTGTCGCGAATTATGTCGCGATTTAGTATAAGTTTTGTAATATCAAGCATTAATAAATTTAATCTGTTATGATACCTAAGAGTAGGGAACTAACACGGCAGTACAGGCATCTTAAATGAAGGTGAGATATCAGGCATCTGCTGGAAGTGCACTGGTTGGTCGGCACTACAGTTGGTAAGTTTGCACAATGTTTATTACTAACGTAGATACAGTATTTGTTGACTAGACAGCCAGAAAATAGAGTATGACGAATCAGTAACAGAATTAGAATGAGATCGCCACTTGTACTGAAGGTACAAGGGGGCATGAAGCGGTGGCAGAGGAAGGGCTGTAGGGGTATGTGTGGAGGCTCATCATAGGGATCAGAGGATCCCACTACATCAGATCCGGACGATCGATATGAGGTCAAGGACCTGTTAGGACAATTATAGTAGTCCTATGAAGTAGAATGGAGTTAAAAGAAGTGTTCATAAAGATACTCTATTTAAAGGTTATTGTGGTAGAAAGAATGTCGCATATGTAATTTACATTATGATTGAACCTTAGGCGTGGCGACAGTTGACTTTCAACCATCTACGAGCACACACGCGTACATTCCACCTTCGTCGCCGCAGCCGCAACCGCCTCCGCCGCCGCCACCGACTGCAGAACTCTGTGGTCTCGTTTCTCCTACTTTCACTCAAGAGAGTGAGAGAGAGACTGGGGAGATTGTAACTAATAATAATAACTTGACAACATTAAAAATGCCAACTGGCAACGTAACAAACACTTTTAAAAATTGTTCAAATTTCTATAACTGCTTTAACAAGTAATTAAAGATTTATTCGTTTAAGAAAGTCATAGTCTTATTTATTTCCTCGCAAATATGTTATAAAACGTCGTATGACATACGTGCGCTTTGAAAATTACAGCCTCTGCTTTCTTATAGCAATATCGCCTCGGCTGTCATTTTCAACTTACCGCACTTATATCATAATGTACTATTATAAACCGCATCAAGAAGCCAATCGAACAACAACGAAAAGCCTACGGGCAGTTATGAATCTTTTATCAATGCAAACTTTTCTACATACATCTAAAATTGGTGGAGATTTTTAAGAATAATAATTTTCATAATTTTATAGCACTAAAATTTAATGAAATATATTACCTCCATGTCTTTTTCGGCGCGGTCAACCTTATCCATATATTTGAAATGCAATTCCATAAGGCGATCGACTTTCTCAAGGTCGTTTTCAGTGAACTTTGCAAGCAATCTCTGCCTTTGCGTACCTTGACAGTTACGTAGCATGGATGCTATTATGGACACCACGTGTTCTGCAAATTATATTGATTAATCGTAATTTATTTAAAAGATCATATCGTTGATTTAGTGCATCAAGTCATTAATTGACATATTATTATAATTTATATGGCAATTAATGACTTCTTGCAATGAGTCGACGATATAGTCCAGTTCGACATTCTTATTATATGTTTGATATGTAATTTACTTGATCTACGGATGAATTATAAATGAACGGCATTCAAGGTAACACTATTGTTATGTTAAGTATACTAAATTAATATTTATCATATAATTATCTATATAATTATAATTATATTATTATTTACATAATTATCTTATATTCTTATTTCTACAAGAACCCTAAATATACTAATTAAGCGGTATTACATTATTTTATTATTAATACAAGTAAATACCATAACACAAGTTTGGAATAAATATATTGAGCAGAAATAATATTTATGATAATAATATGGAATGTGCAGAACTCAATATTACAACAATTATCAAACACCGTACTGACGAAGGGAATAAACATTGAATATCAGGAACACAAGGAAACTACTTTCGAGTGTTTGGCTCCTGTCAGTATACACGTGTCGAAATTTAAATTGGTACTTTCCGAGTGAAATTGGTTGCCTTTTTTGTATAGTTTGTGGTGCTGTTGTTGTGTTTGTGAAGGTAACTTTAGTTACTAACTGGTGATGGACGACGATAATCCCCCTGACGGGGGAGGCGGCTTCTCTACTGGCGGTTTCTTAAACCCCGATTCTCAAATGGATTTCGACCATTATCCCACCCAAAATGTTAATTCCAGGCCTAAAAAACGTGCCAGTGATGAAGCATCTTCCTCCCAAACTACATCGGAGCAACCTCCGAAACGTTCTTCAAACGCTCCTCCAAATGCATCTGCCCAACAAACCTACAGCTTACCCCAATTTGCTGACGGTATGAAATTAAAATATAGTGAATCTGATAAGGGTCCATTTATAGTTCACGTATCGAGAGAAGAGTCCAACCCCTCATCTGGTCTTACAATCAAATTATTGACGTTTGCCCAGTTCCTAAGTAAGAATGGTATACATGGGATTGCAAAAGACGGTATCAAAGCTACAGGGCGCAATCGGGTTGTAGTTACTTTTGTTAGTGCAATATCCGCAAACAAATTTATTGAAAATTCTCTCCTCACCTCGAATTCTTACAAAGCAATTATCCCCACTTTTCACTTGATAAGAAATGGTATTGTTAGAAACATTCCGATAGAGTGGACTATGGAAGAACTGGTCAAGTCAATTGATTGCACTAATGGCTCCCAAGCCATTAAGGCCAGACGTCTAAACAGGAAAGAATATATTGATAACAAACCACATTGGATCCCCTCCCAAACAGTAATGGTCTCTTTCCTTGGCAAAGAGCTACCTGAAAGAGTCCTGTGTTATCATACATCCCTCCCGGTAGAGATCTATACTCTACCAACCATACAGTGCAACAATTGCTGCCGCTTTGGTCATGTGAAAGCCCAATGCCGTTCAAAGCCCAGGTGTTTCAGATGTAGCCAACCACATGCTGGAGATTCTAGTGGTACCTCCCAACCAACGTGCTTACATTGTTGTGGCCCCCATATGGCCACGGATCCCTCTTGCCCTGAACAAGCCAGACAGAAATCTATTAAGGTTGTTATGTCAACAGAAAACATCCCATACTCGGAGGCTTCCCTTAGATTCCGGACTGTACGTAAATCTTTTGCTGACAGTGCTCGCCCTATGACAGCTCAACCTCCTGCAGCAACCCAATGTTCTCCTACAACCTCTCAACCTCATAATTTCCCCCCTCTTTCCCTAAGCTCCTCCCAAAGAAAAACTGTTTATTTTGAACGCCGACTCTGGGTTTCCCCAAAATCTGGTTTCGATAAAGTAAGCCACAATGACCTTATTATGACTCCGCAGTCCACACAACCTAATGGCTGTGCTATTAATTCAGACTTATCAAACAATACCTCCAGAAACGAAAATCTTATTGAATTACTTATCAACACACTTATCAATATTATTTCTAAATTTGATGATTCCCTACCTAACAATGTCATTCAATCACTGAATAAATTAAACTCTTTAATCCATATTAATAATGACCCCAATCCTACAATGGAACTGTAAGTCAATACGTCATAAAAAACATGAAATAATTGATTTAATAAATAACTATAAGCCCACCATCCTGGCTATCTCGGAAACATGGCTAAAGCCATCTTCGCGTTTTAGGATTCCTGGTTTCTCATGTCTCAGGGATGATAACAACAATGGATATGATGGCTGTGCTCTAATTATTAAAAGACCCACTATTTATTCTTTATTACACCTTCCTTCTCACTCCCCGAATTTTAATGTTGTAGCAGCTAGAGCTTTAAACATAACATTTGTTTCAGTATACATCCCCCATCCTGATCAATCTATCTTCACTGAACTAGACTCCATCCTTGCTTCTCTCCCATCCCCTCTTGTTGTGCTTGGTGATTTTAATTGTCATCACACAATGTGGGGCTCTAACCATTGTTCATCTCCTGCCACCTTTCTTAGTGACATGCTTGATAATAACAATCTCTGTGTTGTAAACGATCGTTCCCCTACGAGAAGAACTTCTCCCGCCCAAAATCCCAGTTGTGTTGATCTTTCCCTAATTTCTTCTGAATTAATTTCCAAATTCTCTTGGAGAGTACTTTTCAATTCTTATGGCAGTGACCATCTTCCTATAATAATAACTTTCGCTCAGTCTGTCCAGTTGGCACCGCCTGCAACACCCCTCCTTAAATTTAAACTGAATAAGGCTAAATGGGATGAATTCTCTTCATTAGTGGAAGTTAAAACTAGGTTACTCCCACTAATTAGAAATGAGAATTTCCTTGCAATCTATGAGGATTTCATTAACATTCTGCTTTCTGCTGCTGATCTCTCTATCCCTCTTAAAAAATCTAAGAAAGACACCATCCCCTCCCCCCCATGGTGGGACTCCGACTGTACAGAAACTATTCTAGAACGCAATGGTGCTGAAGAACTTTTTTTGGATAATCCTAACATTGAAAACTTTTTGTCCTTCCAGAAGCTCAATGCTAAATCCAAAAAGCTGTTCTCAAAAAAAAAGCGCCTTGGCTGGTCTCAGTTTTGCGAGAACCTCTCTCCTCGTGTAAAATCTTCTCTAGTTTGGAAAAATTTTAAAAAGTTTTCAGGATCTCGTGTATCCAATACTTTCTCCAGTAATGAGCCCTCAACTTGGATCGATGACTTTATTAATAGATTGGCCCCTCCTTCTGTCCCATCTATGGACTGTTTCCCTCCCTCCTTTTCCCCAAACTCTAATGATAGAATGGATGAACCATTTTCCTCTGTAGAACTGTCTTCAGTTTTGAACCACCTAAGAGACTCTACACCTGGAATCGATGGTATCCCATATTCTTTTATTAAGAACATCTCAAATTCTTCGAAAACTGTCCTACTTAATATTATCAATAAAATCTTTGAAAATGGTGATATTCCACACTCCTGGAAACTTCAAGTTGTTATCCCTATTCATAAACCAGGTAAGGATCCAAGGGATCCTGCCTCATATAGACCCATTGCGCTGTCATCAGTATTATGCAAAACATTGGAACACCTCATCAAAAATAGATTAGAGTGGATATTGGAGAGCAAAGGACTTCTATCCAGGTCGCAGTTCGGATTCCGTAAGGGTATGGGCACTCTTGACAGCCTCAGTACCTTTTCTACTGAGATTAGACTCGCACTCACCAGAGGATTGTACTTTGTTGGTGTCTTCCTGGACGTGACAGCCGCTTATGACAATGTTCATCTCCCGCTACTCAGGCAAAAAATGCATCAGCTGAGTCTACCAGTGAGGATGATTAACATCATTTATAACATGCTAATGTCTCGCTCCATCTCAGTACGTATCAATGGTTCTCTTCTCCCCCCCAGAATGATATGGAAGGGACTCGCACAAGGTTCTGTCTTGAGCCCCATCCTTTATAGTCTATACACTGCTGTCCTTGATAAATCTGTTGACTGCTTCTGTGATATTCTACAGTATGCAGACGATTTAGCACTCTATTATTCCTCAGAGTCTCTTGATGAATGCACTATCCAACTAAATACTGCCATTAGATACTTGCAAGATTGGCTCACTAATCACTGCCTTCTCCTATCACCCAATAAAAGCTCAATAGTAGTATTCACAAGAAAAAGACGTGTCCCACATATACAAATTTTCCTAAATGATGAACTGATCCCTGTACTCGACAAGGTTAAGTTTCTAGGCTTCTTTTTTGATTCCCACATGACTGGAATCCCTCACCTAAATTATATTAAAAATAAATGTGAAAAGGGTATTAATATTATTAGAGCTCTGTGTGGAGTATGGTGGGGAGCCCACCCTTATACCCAAAAATTGATGTACAATGCTGTAATAAGGAGTCATTTTGATTACGCTTCATTTTTATTAGAACCTTGTAACAAATCCGCTGTTAACTATTGGGATAATATACAAGCTAGATGTCGTCGTGTTATATTAGGAGCGATGAAATCATCTCCAATCAATGCCATGCAGGTTGAGAGCTTAGATCCTCCGTTATGTTTCCGTCGTCAGTACTTATGCGACCGTTTCTTTTTCAAAATCTCACAAAATTCTGCTCACCCCTTACTTGCCCCTTTTTTTTTTTTTTTTTTACGTGGGGAAATCCTCATGGATATCTCTCTGCTGCGGGGGCAACAGAGAGATCATGTCGGACTCCTACCGACTAAAACCCCACGGTGTTCCGTCCCTGCTCCTTTCTGTTGTCGGGACTACGGGAACGCTTTCGCACTCTTCCGCGGTCCCGACGGCGCTGGCCCTCGGCCGAGAGCCCCTTCCCATTGAGGTGGAGCTGGAGAAACACCACCCCATTCAACACTTACAGGGGCACGCAGGAACACCGCGCGCGCCACCTCGGGATCTATACATTACGGGCGGCGGACACCCCCGCGTCCACCGCCAAAATCCCTATTATGGGGGTTGAAGGAGGGCATGATAGTGCCTCCTCCGACGCCCTGCTCTCCTGCGGCGGATTGGAAGAAGGGTGGTAGCCTCCCTCTCCCGCTCCGCAGCTTCCTTCTGCGACATTACGTGTTCGCAGAAGGATACTACCTCCATCCACGACCTGTCACTTTCCAGCATTGATTTGATCATTGCAGGGAGTGACAGGTCGTGCCCCACTGCGGCAACAAGTTCACGGCGCTCATTGGCCCAGGCTGGGCACACCTGCAGCGTGTGCTGTGCCGTGTCTTCACAGCAGCCACAATGGTGACATTCGGTTGTCGGTTCCCTCCGCGCTATATGACACAGGTACTTTCCGAAGCAACCATGCCCGGAAAGCACCTGCACCAGCCGGAAAGTCAAGGACCCATGCGCCCTGTCCATCCAGTTCTCAAAAACCGGACGGATAGCCTCCACGGTCCAGCTCCCGGCTCTGGGTTGGGTCAGTCGCCCCCTCCACTTTCTAAGCAGGGACTGATGCGCATGAAACTTCCACGACTGCACTTCCTGCAGCGTGGGATCCTCGCCACGGAGACGGAGGTCAATGCGCCATTGATACATGGCAGCATAGACCTCCGCCTCCAGGTCCCAGGGAGGAGACCCCGCTAACAAGCATGCCGCCTCATAGGATATGGTGCGATATCCTCTGATAGCCCCGACCGCCATCACCCTCTGAGATCTCCTCAGGAGTGCGATGTTTTTCTCTGTGAGGGCGTCAGACCATACGGGAGCCCCGTATAGAGCCATCGAGCGCACCACTCCCATGTACAGGCGACGGCTGCTCGCTTTGGGCCCTCCGAGGTTGGGCAACAGCCGCTTTAAAGCAGCAGCCGTTCCCATTAAACGAGGGATCATGCGAGTAAAGTGCTCGCGGAAGTTCCATCGAGAGTCGAGGACGAGACCAAGATACTTCATCGTGGGCTCGACTCCGATGCGAGTCTCACCGATAGTGATATGAGAACTCCGTGGCGGCGCCCGCCGAGGGCCATGAAAGCACATGGCCTCCGACTTGTTAAGCGCCACCCGGAGTCCCAACATCTCTATTCTACCGACAACCTGTGCCACCGCCTCCGTGGCAAGACGGGCAGCGTCCGCGAAGGTCTCACCTCGTACCATCACCAACGCGTCATCGCAGCGTAGCAGATCATGCTGGCGCCCGGAGGGAGATCTCCCCGTAACACCCAATCGAATCCGATGTTCCACAGGAGCGGTCCTAGCACTGACCTTACTTGCCCCCTTGACTCAACTAGCGAACCTTGTTACAACTTCTAAATACTGAGAACATAAGAGCCCTCCATGCCTTTTAAAAAGCTTTAACAAATCTCTCATCGGCCCCCCTATCAATCAATACTCTGGTAATCCATTGTTTTTAATCGATTTTGATGCACTAATTTTTAAACCCAACATTGTTACCAATTTAGGAATTGTCAAAGATGACCCTAACGCTGGAATACTTTTTAATAAAATAGTTAATGAGAAATGGAACGGTTGGCTCAATATCTTTATAGATGCTTCCAAATCCACCACAGATGATTTTGTTGGCTCTGCCGTCTGGATCCCTACATTTAATATCTCCTTAACTTTTAAATCTCCCTCTAAAGCATCCGTATATTCGGGTGAGGTGATCGCTGTTTTTGAGGCAGTTTCATATGTTAAATCCCACAAATTAGACAAATCTGTAATTTTTACACTCTCGTAGCTGCCTGGACGATCTGTTAAAATTCCCCTTTCGTAGCAAAGATGTTCACCCAATCAATCTTAAAACAAAAGAGCTCCTTTACAATTGCTCTAACCTTGGCATTCAAATTGTTCTTGTTTGGGTTCCTGGACACTCTGGCATTTCTGGGAACGAACAAGCGGATAGATGGGCTAAATGGGCGATTCATTCTGGTACCATTATATATGATAAATGTTTTTCTCAAGACTTACGCTCCCAGGCTAAGATTGATTTACACAATAACTGGAAGACTTACTGGTCGTCTTCTAGCAGACAAAAAGGCAAATATTATGCTGGTCTTCAACCAGTAATACCCAAGAAACCTTGGTTTTTCGAGTTCCGCGAGGCCAGTAAAAGAACAACTTCAACTATCATCCGATTGCGCCTAGGACATAACTGCAGACCCACTTTTCTTGCTAAGCTCAGGATAAGGGATCACTCCCTTTGTGAGTGCGGTCTTGAACAAGGAACTCTTGACCATATATTTTTTAACTGTGCATTATATCCCGTCTCTTTATACGATCTTCTTCCAGATTGTATCCCTCGTCCCACAAATTTTTATAGTATCCTTTCTCCCCTAAAACCTCCGCTACTATTTACTCTATTTAAATATATTGAACAAAATAACATACGGTTATAACTTTTACTATGTGCACGGCATGCGTTTATGCTTTTCATCCAAAGTAGCTAGTCAAATAACCCCGTGTTTTGTCTTTGTCCATAGGATGGTGCAACCGATCATCGTCGTTTGAGTGAATCTTGATAAATATACCGTGTATCTTTCAACCCGGACACTGGCAGAATTGTCCTCAGTGGGACAGAAGCCAAATAACCCAAAAAAAAAAAAAAAAGGAAACTACAAGAAATTCGATGAAATTTCGTCTAACCATGTGTGTACGTACCTTCGTGCTGGTCAACTGTGAGCAATCTCTTCCGCTTTGGAGTTTTCATAAAAAGAGGGAAGACGGTTCGCAACCCAAGAATGTCCACAAACTTATTACAATTGTCGCGTCCTTCAGGCCCAGCCAGTGCATGGTCTAATACTTTTAGTGAACCATTCCGGGACATTTTCTTTTCTCTTAAAAAAAAATTATAATAGAATAAGCTAAATGTAAAACGTGTCACAGTGTAGCAGTTTTATTACTATAATCGCGGGTGGAAATAATAGCACAACATAGATTTTGCAAAAATTGAGTGTTCACAATTTTTTTTAATAATGCATTTTTTATTTTATTTCTTTATTTCATACATACAGCTATTTTTACAGGACCATCCCAATACAATAATGCAGCATTCCATAACGTAATCAATCACATAACAATTAAATATATATATAATGAATAAAGCCAATTTATAATGAATGACAATAATGAATAATATACAATAAAATAGAATTAATTATGAACAAAGCAAAAACACTGTCGTGTTCATGACCTCGCTCTCAAAACAAGTAAAAATGTCTACTTCTTCAGCTACTCGATTTAGTGTACGAATGGTGCAAGAGGCGCCTTGTTGAGCAAATTTGTCCTGTCTCGCGCAGTGTTGGGCAAAATTTTATTGTTCTGGCAATTAAAGATTGACAATTAATTAACTGTCAATTGCCAAACAGCAATTAACAATAGATCAATCGTTAATCGCGTATATCTACATTAATCAATTTTCAATCTTTTCAATGTTTTTGATTGACAATTAAAACTGACAATTACGATAAATTTATAGGGCATATGGGGGTGGGTTAGGCAGTGGGTGAGGGGGTGAGGTAGGGGGTGGGTTAGGGGGTGGGTTAGGGCGTGGGTTAGGGGGTGGGTGAGAGGGTTTGAATGGGTGGGTGGGTTAGGGCGTGGGTTAGGGGGTGGGTGAGAGGGTTTGAATGGGTGGGTGAGTAGTGGGTGAGCGGGTGTGTGGTTGGGTTGGGTTAGTCCCAAACCCACCACCTAACCTAACCGACCCCCTGACCGATCCCCAACCGACCCTCTAACTTAATTAAATCAAATACGACGTGTCGCAATTGATTTAATTGCAATTGATTTTAATTGCAATTGATTTCAATTGAATAGATTTTTTGATCTGATTGAAATTTAATCGATTAACGCCCAACACTGGGCTCGCGGCACCACCAGCAGCCGTGAACGTCGTACTCATTTGGCACGCATAAACAGAATGATTGCAGCACTCCCGAGTTTAAAATTTTACCTCGCAATATTCGCACTATGTAACTTGTGAGAGCCACAAGTAACTATAGGGATTCGTTCGTTGGTTTTGCATTTTTTTTAAACATACATAGTTCAGTATTAACTTACCGCAACATCAAATTCATAAGTTGCAGTCCTTCCCCGCGCAGGAAGCGGTCGCGATTTGCTGGTTCCATGAGAGCGCAGCATAGAGAATCGAACATGTTCTCCATTGCCTCTTGTTCCTCCGCGCCGCTCGGGTCGTGACGCTTGTAAAACTAAACACATAGCGACATGATAAGATTTCCTGATTTAAAATTAGGCTGTGAAGTTTCACCCTCGTTTTTTCACTCCACGCGGTTAGCTTTTGAACCAACGACAATACATAGGGCGATTAAAAAAAATCACTATTTTTTTCTATGAATTAGGATCACCAATAGGACACATCCAAGAAGAAATACAAATAAATATATATGTTAATCTTGGTCAACATAAATGAAATTCAATACTGGGTTCTAAAATTTTCCCTGATAGGTTAAAACAGTACATTTATTACAAACAAAAAAGAAATTTGATCGTTATATTGAACATTAAAGTATACTAAACTGTGTATCCAACTTACAGCCAACTGTTGCAACAGTACATCAATGCCATCAAGTTCTCCCAACAATTTCCTATTCTCCGGCGTATTCTGCAGAAGTATAGACAGTATTTCGGTTGCATACAGCTTGTTGCCATCAAATGGCACTTTCAATTTTAGCCTTTTTAGGATCCATTGCATGAAGCCTTGCTTGGCCACTTCTATACATAGCTCTGGCCTAAACTCTGTGATATTTTCTACTATACCTGTAAAATAATTATAATTTCAATTAAAAAAAAACTATTTTTGAATTTCGTTGCTCTGGTATAGTACCGGGAAATCCCTATTTTGAAACAGCATGTATTTAAATGATGATTTTAAATTTGCAAAAGAAGCAGACAAAAAATCTAAACAGTCATCTTTTTTAATTATTGATGAGGGCGCAACCAAGCAACCAAGACTTATTAAAAGATACTGGTTATCAATGACATCAATCATTTAAAGAAAAGTCCAATAATAAAAAAAGACGACCAAATATTATTTTTGATAATAGTGTTACCTTAAACATAATAATAGTGTTACCTTGAATGCAGTTTATTTATAATTCATCCGTAGATCAACTAATATAGACGGAACAATTAATATACATATCAAACATAAAAAAAATATTCTTATTTAAAAATGTGAACACTTTCCACCTCATCCTCAAAGATATAATTGATCTATTGTAAATGAGCATGTACAATAGATCAATTATATCTTTGAGGATCACATAATGTTATCCCTTTTGAAACCAGGTAATTGGTAAGGTTGTCTAGCGTATTAAAATTGCTGAGCATTAGATTTCTGCTAAAACGGCAAGAGTCTTAGGTGGAAGATGTGCATTTTATTGTTTGTAATGAATATTATGATGTTTCACTATTAATTTATTTCTTGTCAAATTACTCCACTACTTTGTTATAATTATTAATTTATTAATACAAAGATCGAACTCAAAAAAAATCCTTCAATCTGACAGCACACGAACCTGCATCTGTGCCATAACAGAGATACCATTCTACCAACTGAGCTATAGGTCGAGTCAGTAGATCTCACGAATTTTTGTATGCATTTGTTATCGATGTTTATTTTTGGTTTCTAACATATTTCTTGCCGTAGCGCCATCTGTGAGAAATCTATGAAAGTTTTCTTCACAACCAAGTACCTCCTGTCAGATTGAAGGTCTTGTCAGATTGAAGGTTTTTCTTTGTGTTAGATCTTTTCTATTGATAACCATAATAAACATGCATGTACTTTAATAAGATTAAATTACTGAAAACCATCAGTACATTATAATACGTCACCATACCCAATGTGTTGTGTACTGCATCCCTCTCATCAGCCACTTGTTCATCTAATCTAGCCAGGTTATGGAGCAACAAGGAAGCACATTCTGCTTCTGCCAGGGCATCAATTAATGCTTCTGCACCTTCTTCACTTTCATGCAAAATGTCAACATCTGTCAGTTCCTACAAAATACACAATATAAATAAACGTGACTTGTTAAAGTAAATTTGCTCATCCAAAAAATACAAAAAGCCAGTCCACGAGGCTAGTTCTATCTGTTGATAATCATTAAACATTTTTTAAGAATAATAAACATGTGTTAAAACAATAATAAATTTGCACTTTGAGCGGAAAAATATAGGTCATGTTACTTGTGACAACAGATGAATAATCTATTAGGTACAGCATTTCTGGACGAACATTTGGTACTCTGTGCCTCGGGACTTTGTCATATAGTAGTAGTAGTACCATAATAAGGATAATATTTTTTTTGCGTAGCCTACTACAAAATTATCATGGCACGGAATATATCCCCTATACCAACCTGTAACAAATTGACCACTTTAGAAGAAATATCAGTATTGTCATGTGATAGCAATTCCAGTAACGAGTTCACACATTTCAACTCCACCAGTAAAGGGTATTGATCTGGCACTGTAGCAACTGCACTTAATTCCTGTAAACAAACCCGATTATTTCATTTTTGCAAGTTTTAACAAGTATATCAATGACACAATATTAAGTTTACAGTAATAATATACATTATAGTGATTAATACAAAGATCGAACACAAAAGCAGAGTGAAGAAAAACCTTCATAGATTGAGAAATCTATGAAGGTTTTTCTATGAGAATAGATGGCGTTACGACAAAAAGTTGTTGAAAACCATAAACAAAGATCTGCAACAAGTACATACAAAAATACGTAAGGTCTGCTGGTTCATTCCGTAACTCAGTTCAGAGAGTGGCAGCCACTGTCTGTTTAAGGTGCTGGTTATTCCAACCAGCTGAATTGAATAAAAATTCATCAGAACACAGAAAAATTTCTGTGTTTGATCTTTGTATCAATAATTATAATTTTTTTAATTTAAATTTAATTGAACTGATGTGTGTTAATTGTGATACCCAATGAAATGAATTGCAATGAATTTTTTAAATTGTCCTAAGAAATAATAATAAAATAAAAATAAAACTAACAATTAAATAAATATATACTCTGCGATGAAGTCGAAGTCTGAAAATGTACACACAGGTGCCTTTGGAAGTTTTTGAGTGCCAGTGAGTGCCTTTGAGTGCCATTGAATGCATTTGAGTGCCAGTGAATGCCTTTGAGTGTCAGCAAGTGCCTTTGAGTGCCTGCAAGTGACTTTGAGTGCCCGCCAGTACCTTTGAGTAATTATGAGTGCCTTTGAGTGCCAGCGAAACTACATTCAAAGGCAAACAAAGGCACACGCTGACACTCAAAGGCATTCGCGGGCATTCAAAGGCACTCACGAGCACTTAAAGGCACTCGCAGGCGGTCGAAGGCACTCATAGGCACTCAAGGGCACTCACAGGCATTCATAGGTACATGTGCTAAAATGCAATCTCAACTATTTTGTGGAATAATTAATCTGTAATTATGTTTCCTATCACATATAATTAAAATTTTTGATGATAAATATTAATCTTTTAATTGCTACATACAATACATACATATTTATTTCAATACAAAAATATTGAAATAAATATGCATATAAAAATATGCCCTATAAATTTATCATAATTGTCATTTTTATCTATTAATTGTTAATCAAAAACACTGTAATTAATTGTTAATTGCTGTTTTCTCAATTAATAAAAAATTAATTGTCAATCTTTAATTGCCTGAACAATTGAATTTTTGCCCAACACTGTAACTAGTAGAGTAATTTCACAAAAAATAATTGAATAATAATGGGTGTAAAATATACACATATTTGTATTACATTTTGTTTTTCTATTTAACTAACCTGCAATGCCTCATGAAGATCTATTTCACTTTCCATAAACTTCTCAGGCTGATCAGGGAACTTTATCCTCATCTCTCTATTCCTTAGAGCTTTTTTCTCAAAGTTTAGTACCAGTTTTTTTACTGCTGTCTCATCCAGTACTTCACCCTGAAATAATTATAAAATTAAAACAATGCCTCCATATTACCAATATATTTCACATCATAATTTCGTTGACTAAAAGGTAAAATTCAATAAGTTCCATTCAATGGATTTCATATTACTATAATAACATACTGTCTTTCCTTATTAATCATACACACAAATAATAATAATTAGAAATATAATGAAAACAAAAACAAAACAGATTAATGTAGTGCAGCACATTTAATAGTTATCTTGTTATCACTAGTAACCCACTCATGTTCACTTAATTCTCTCAAATAAACAAGACCCACATTCAATATCGCATTAGATAAGATCAGACAGAGAGAGTGCACAGAAAGGCCCTGGATGAACGCTGTTAATATGCCTTACTTCCGTAGCTTCAGTTTCCACATATCGTAAGATGTCTTCCTTCTCTTTATCTGAAATAATAGGTTCTTTTGGAAGGCCTTTGCTCAATTGATACATCATTTGGTCAGTCTTCGCTTTGGCTATACGCCGCATTTTAACAGCTCTGGCAGTTTCTTCATCAGAGTCACCGCTATCTTCATCGTTTGGACGCTTAGGTGTTGGTGTCGGCTGAAAAAAAGCAAAACAATGCTTCATAGAGCAATTCATTTAAACAATACATATTTATTACAGTGATATATCAAAGTAAAACTTACTTTGAACGAAAGCAATTCACCGACATCCATTTTGTAGAGAAATATTACTCTGTCGACCGACTAATGTATTATGTGAACGTTATTTGAGACGCACTGTCGTAACTTAATGTTATTTAACAACGAAAGCAGTAAAATAAATTATAGCACGCAACCGTTTATTTTCTTTAGACAATATCGCAAGCAAAGCAAGCACATGTCAATGTAAAGTGACGTTAAAACAGACATAAAGGATTAACACCATACAGCCAAGTCTCGGTGAATTTATCTTTTGGTACTTTTACGTTAGTTGGCATTTAGCATACGCCAAGCTTCAGTCCACTAAAGAGGTATCAATTCCTTTTTTATAGTTATTTTTTGAGATTATTGCATCATTTAGATGATGCTGATATCGATCATCGAGAACACTGGAAATTCAAGTGATCATAGAGAACAGTGGCGCATTTTCCAAAAAGCATTTCTTTTTCTTTACAGCTGGCGGTAAATTACAAAATGCGCGGCAATTATCTTAAAAATGATACACTTCCAGGAATTTAATTATTTGTTACGAAAATTACAATACTCTGACGGTCCTCCTGATGTTGTAGCTGCACTAAAGGTTTTTGTTTCAAATAACATAATTGTCAAAGTGCTTTCATAGTAATTTTACAAGTAATTAATCTACGTATTTCAGGACGTAGCAACTGCTATACAAGTTGGTGACAAAAGTGACTTACAGGAACTATTGGCGCTGTTAAATTCTACGCCCGATCACGTATTAAAATTAAAGTTACTTTCTATTTTGTCGGCATATTTAATATCACATGTAAGAACTTAATTAATTTTCATAGTAACTCTCACTACCTCGAACACTTTATTTATATAGTAACTTTCGTTTGTTTTAGTATAGATTCAGCGATGTCATAGTCACCTACAGGCCACTTTACGGCACAATCCAAAACTTACTAAATCGAGGTTTACCTATAAAGACAAAGACTACTTTCAATTTTATTCTGGCCCTGTTAAACGCCGACACAGAAGCGACAAATCTAAAGGTGTTTGCACAAAATATGATTCGAGTCAGTGGTTGCCTGATGACTATGTGTGACATCTTCACCAGTGGAATGATGGTGAGATATTCCATTAATTTAAAGTCTTATTTAAAATACTTATAATTTCCTTTCCTCGCCTGTTCATTAATTAAATTTTGTAATCAATCGCGTTGGATATACTGTTTTCGAATTCCGGGATATACATTGGACTATTATTATTTGGTGGTAAAAAACTGGTCTTACGTGGAACTGATTTTCCGATAACATAGACGACCCCGGTGGCCTAACGCTTTACATCGTGGTCGTTGGAGGTTCGATTCTCGGTAGGATCAATTTCGGAAATTAACTTTTCTAAATTGGTTCTAGTCTGGGTGTTCTGGGAAGTGCCCCAGAATATTGTTGCTCTAGTTTTTTTATACTGCCAAGTGACGGGACGAACAGTAGTTTTGTAGTTTAGTAGCAGTAGAGCTCCTTGTGAAAGAGTTCGTCCTTGGAAGTACTGCCACCTTACCTATATCTGCCGCCAAGCAGTAATGTCAGCATTGATGTGTTCCGGTTTTGAAGGGTAAGGGTGCTGGTGAAATTATAGGCACATGGGATTTGTCAACTTATGTTTCAGGGTGACGGGCGCAGTGGTAGTACCCTTCAGATCCTTGCAATTTAAAGCTCTGAGTGGCACTGACTGTTATGGACAGGCGTGTAGTTTACCATCAGACGCACGACTTGTTCGTCCCGTCACTTGATGTTATAAAAAAAAGTCTTAGACCTGGTGGTAAACAACACGACTGTTCATAACAATTGCAGGGAATTTCCTACTCTGAGACCAGGCAATTGGTGTGGTCTGGCACATAATATTATTGTTTTATACTTAGGCGTATTTGTTTCAATGTCATAAATCAGACTATATATTTGTTTTCTTTTGCAATATTTATTTTATTACCGCCACGGTGTAGCGGGCTGAATCAATGGGTTAAGGGTGGGTGCTAACAACGAGTAAGCAAGGCTAAAGCAAACGTAGGTACTCACAGCTTATTAATTTATTAGAAAACACGTAGCAAAACAGCAAACGAAAAAGAAGAAAAGGCGCCAAAAACAATCATGTTTAAATTTAGAATATAAATATAAAAGTAAAACTTAAAGAGACTATAATATATATACAAAAGAGATTCGTAGCGACTGCTGCGATTCGCTATCCACGGCGAGGCAACGGATACTGGTTCGAGCCCAGTCGGATCGAAGGAATTTTTCTTTGTGTTTGTTCTTTGTATCTTATACATATATATATATAATATATATATATATACATATATATATATATATATACAGGGCGTCCCAAAGTTATGGGCCATGAAGGGGAAGTACCTTAAATATCGTATATAGAGTATTTTGCTGAAAGAAGACTTTATGTTATTTTTAAAAGTTAGTAATTCTGCATTCATAGATTTAAAAAAAAATATTTGCTTCGTCTGGGAATCGAACCGACTTAAATGTCAAAAAAAAAATCACCCTACTTTTATGATACCAATCGAAAGAATAGCT